TTGTTTCTACATACAAGACCCACGGGATTCCAGCTGTGGTGCTTCAGAACTGACAGGGGCCAGATGTCCTGACAGCTAAAGAAAATGGTATTCACCAGTTCCTCCAACAAGAATGCTGTTTTTAGGGAACATGAGATCTCCAGTTCTGTGATTTTTAAAAACCCATATAAAAGCAGATACTCTCTTTTGTAACACCCTTTTTAGTCATGCTCTTGGTGTTATTATTTCTAACCAAACTATTAATCAGTTCCCATTAGAGGATTACCAGCCACTGTCCACAGAGGAACATGATACACACATCTACCGAGTGGACCCCGATGATGAAAGCCAGCTACTCCCTACAACAGACTATACCCCTACACAGCAGGATGTGGTTTAAGAGATACAGTGCACTGACTCCTCTTTCACCATTGGATTCCCCTCCCCTTTTTTCTTCTCTTTATAATAAGAAAAAGGGAGGAATGTTGGTATCAGGCTCCAAACCCAGTGACATCACATCTAGGCGACCCCCACATCGTTGCTAAGGCAACCGCCATACATTCCCAGGATCCACCTGGCTACTTCATCTTTACCTTGGAGAGGCTACATCACTGTCCATATAAAACAGGCAGAACCCCCTGACTTCGCTCTCTTCCTCCATCTTCTTCTTCTTCTATTTCTCTCCCCCTGCCCAGCTTTGTCCTATTTCCTGAATAACCCCACCCCCTTTTAGAACCATTTGATCTGATGTGATCTGTTCTAAGCTGCTCGAGGATGTCTAACAACACCTTCTCTAATGAGTTCTCAGCTATACTAATTGGTATAAAAGTAAGTACTTAGAAGGCAGTTTGATATTATGTCCATTTAGCAAAGAAACAATAATAGGTTCTCCTTTTGGGTCTATTATTATTATCTTCAGCCACAGGTTCTGACCAAGCTTAGAGTATAGCTACCTCCTCAAAAATAGGCCTTAAATCTAATTGAGAAGGCTAAGCTGACTCCATGACAGGCTTCAAACTGGCAATTTAAGAGATTAGACCTAAGAACTAGGCAAGTCCAGGCAAGCACATATAAGTCAGTTACTAGAAACAACAACCCAGTTCCCAACCCCCACACCTTGATAATGGTTCTAAAATCCTAGAATAAAAGAAAATAAAGCTCATCCACCCCCAAACTCCCCTAATGCACTTTAAATCTGGCCGACAAACTCAAATTGATTTATCTTGGTAATGGGAGACCCCAACATGGGAGACTTCTACAGAATAAAACTCTTTAGGTTTACATACTATTTAAGTCCAGGGTATCATTCTTCAGTGAATCATAGACCTTTATATAATCAGATAATGATGGCATATTCCAAAGCATTTATGACACTTCTACAACAGTGGGCAGTCTTGCCAGGCTCTGTGTTCCTGTAGCTCACTGGGCTTATAGTCGGGAAGACTGCTGGTGTTCTCCTCCTACTCCACAGCCTGCAGAGCACCTGATCTGACACAAGCTAGGCAGAAGGGAAGCTTCCAGTCAGTACCTGCTTGCTTTAACTCAGTTTTTAATTGTCAAATCGTTGATCCTCCTCAAATTGGCTCCCATGTTCTCTAGTCATTGATAGCATCCTAGCTTTAAAACATGGCAAGATGCTCTGCATTATCTGGTGCATTTTCTGTAGACAACTAAAGTTTCCTTTTCTACAAAGGAGCCTGCCTATCATAAACATTTACCTCTACCAACAGATCTTATTATAAATTACATAATCATTTAAACTAGGAATAAAATTAAGATTCAGGATATATAGTTTTCCTGAATAATTCAGATATTTTATATCCATTTTACTAACAGAGAGCTTGTAACAATATATGAAAACAACTAAGACTACAACTTACTACAATAAACACATAAATTAGTTTTCCTACTATACACTCTCAATAGGAAATTTCCCATCAATCTCCATTTAAATAATTCTAATCTACAACACAGACTAACTTAAAAAAATTGATCACTTTAATGAAAAAACACAAAGCAGAACCAACAAATTAAGAGTTCATTCTTTTAATAATGATTTCATTATTCTAATTAATGATCCTTCTTTAAAAGTCATTATCAGATAACTACAATTCAAAAGAAAAACTAAGATGTAAATATCTTTCTTAATGATTTTCTGTAAGGTATTCTAGTAGATTCTCAATTTGTAAGCCATTTTAATAAGCAGAAAAAAATCTTAGCCAACTTTCTGTATTATTTCCTAAGCACTGAAGCCTACAAATCTATAGTTACAGACCATTCTATAAATTTACTTTAAAAATGTTCTATACCAAATGTCTGTACACTTTTCTACCTTGATGTTTAGCCAAGTAACAAATGCTTGTTGGGTACTTTCTCTGGTCTATGGGATCTGAAACAAGAATACTCTCCCATTCTCACCCTGGCTCTCCCTTCTCATCTCAGCAGCCCTGAAAATTCTATTTGCTAAAGTCAGCCATATAGTCTGGTGTGGGACTTCGTAAGGGTTCACGGCTGGGCATGGGCCTGGAACCCCGAGACTCCAAGGGGAGAAACGGTAGGTGTTCAGCCACGTCTCCAGAACCCAGGGTCCTGACACACAGTCTCGTCTCCATGGACCTACATTGTTCAGTCATGTAGGCCATTACAGCCCCTCCCAAAGTTCACAGGTAGAAGATGTGACTACAGGCCTCAGGCCCTAGAAAGATTTGCATACTAATGAAGGCCAGAGGGCAGAGCCAATTAAGCATTCTTCCCCAGACTCACCCCCCTTTCTCCCTCCCTATATTTAACTCAGGTCTGCCCTGAGTTTCATGGGGGTACATCCAGATCCATCTACCATCGGCCATGAAAATAAACCTTTCTGGAACCTTAGACTTTCTCGTGTATGTGGGACCCACTGGCATGGAAAGTCTCTGGGACACCGCCGTGGCTTTTGTCCCACAGTCTTGGACCAATCCTCCTTATTTTCTATCAGTTACAGCTTTGAATCATCCTTCTCTAAAACAACTTCTATATATTTGGATATTTCAACTTCTATAGAGATGGCCCTCGTTTGGTTCTTACATTATGAAACTATCTTTATAGTACTAAAATGCTATTTGTCTTTTCCTGTCATTTTTAACATTTGCACTGTTGATATAAAAGCAACAGTGAGTTAAACAAGAGTCACCTTAGCATACATCAAACAAACGGTAGTAATTGTTAGTAATCACTGCATTCTTTACTAGCATTTGCATTAAAAATTTAAAAACTGACTTGGAGCTAGAAAGATGGCTCAGAGGTTAAAAGCAATTGGTATTCTTCCAGATGACCTGGGTTGAATTCCCAGCACCCACATGAAAGCTTGCAACCATCTATAACGTTAGTTCCATGGGATACAATGCTCTCTTCCGACCGCTGCAGGCTCAGAGCACACATGTGGTACATAAACTTACATGCTGGCAAGATACCCATACATGTAAAATAAAGAAATTTTAAAATTAAAAAGATACTTTCTCTTCTCTTTTTTTTTCTTTTTAAAGATTTATTTATTTATTTATTTATTTATTTATTTAATGTACATGAATACACTATAGCTGTCTTTAGACACACCAGAAGAAGGCATCGAATCCCATTGCAGACGGTTGTGAGATACTTTCTCTTCTTACAGAACAAAAAAGATGTGTTTTGCCCTGATTGCTAAATCAAACTAAGAACATGGAATATTCTATTAAACAATGAAACCCTGAAACATATGGAGAAAAAGCACAGCTCACGTTAGAGTATTTTCTTATCACCTGGCTTTGTCTCACACATTTCAGACAAGTTCTGAAGATGCCAGCAATGAAGAAAACCAGTGGGTGCACACCAAAAGAACCCCAACAAGAAAATGCTCTCTTGGGCTAAAAGAGCAGGAAAGGGAAGGCCTGGCAAAGCTTCTAAGACACTACACACTCTTTCTGGCCCTGAGGGTTTTGGGGAATCCCTGTATAGTGGGCAATTTTTTACTGTGTGCAGAAGGTTTTGAATTGAGAGCTAGGAAAGGTAGGGCCATTATCAGTTTTATCTGCTGAGGAATGTTAATGATGGCTTGTTATGTATTTTGATGGTTATTTTTGGGTGGGAGTCTTTTGAGATGCTGGACACCCATAAGGCTTCTATAGGAGCAGTTATCTCTTGCTGTTGGGATGGAGGGCTGCACTCTGTTAAGTTTAAAGGCTTTAGTGGTTTACCATCTTTACCATGTAGCGAGGTACAATCATTTCTCCAGTGGAAACCTTTGTGACACTGGGGACAAACTGTCTTAGGGGCATTAGGACCTTTTGTGAGAAGGGAGTTTTGTGGGCACTCCAATGTCCTGTCTCCACATTAAAAGCAGATTCCTTCTGTTTTTATTGCTGCTACTAAAGCCTGAGCCACAGATGTAATCTCGTATATAGACTTAGCACATTGCTAACTTCTCAGTCTTCATGTCTGCTCCTTCTTATTTCTCATTCCCTGAACACTGGAACATTCACATAAACACATGCAATGCCACAGGACTCAGGTCCAAGACTCATCTGTATTATAGCTACCTGTACTGGTAACTTAATACTGTCTCACAATTTTATATAGTGCCTATATGTTCACCACTCCAAAATAAAATCACCATGTTGGACCATTAAACCAAAAACAACCTGTCTTCCCTGAAGCTGCCTTTGTTTGGTACTTGGTCCCAACAATGAGAAAAGTAACCAATAATCCAATTCACTCTCTTTGGTCTGTCTTAAATCTTACCACTCATGAAACTGTACAGGACCACAGACATCAGTACTTTTCATGCCACGTCTTACAGTCTGCGTGTTGTCTTATGTGAATGTGTGTTATGTATAACTCTTCTGTTAGGCAAAGCTCCCTTTAAACAGCAGCTCTGACACATTTTTATATCACAAAAGCACCTTCCACAGAGCACGATACAAAAATAAGACTCAAAATAAATATATGGAAGTGTATCTATTGCAGTTTTCAAGTTAAAGATGATATAATCATATTAAATTACTTACAATATATACAGTCTGATCCTGGAGATGTTCAGCACTGGTCACTTGCTTAAACAACCGAATAAAGTCATTAAATGTTTCACATGTCATTTCTGTGGAACACCCTGCCTCTGAAGAGTCAAGATGACTCAGTTTGTTTAAAATTTGTTCCAAAAGTAGTCTCGAAGTAAAACATTCAACACAATTCACAAAGGCATGTGGGAGCTGAAAACAAAAAGAAAAACAGAGTAAACAAAACATATACAATGAAGTTTTGTTGGATAGCCTCTAATTTCCTCTGTGAATCTATACCCCACTGTTCTCTATGTAGCCCATGCCCCAAGAACCTGACCATGGAAAGTACACCATCAGGCCCTAGTTGGAGAAGTTGCAGGAAGTAGTGGCTAGAGATGGAAGCAGAGCAGCTTAGGATCACAGTGTCCACACTGTGCTGTAAAGGCCAGCGCTCCAGCTGAGTACGGCTTTTGTAAGGCAGCTAGTCTTTCGAGTTTTGGCAACAGTGTGTCTCTATAATTCCTTGAGGTCTGGGAAGTGATAAAGGCTACGATGAATTACTGTCCCTTCTTGAGTCCCTTGAAATTTTCTCAGCCTTTGTAGGTAGTTACTTCCTTAAACTCCCTTCAGTGATTTGAGTTTTTCATTTGTTTTCCTCTAGCAAGTAAACTTTTATTTTTCTCTCAAAATATTATTATAAAGAAACCAAGTTACTTTTGAATGTTAAAACTCCTAGTGAGAACTTAATTTACTAGAGAACTTTATCTACTAGAGAAGTTTACTTACTAGTACGTTACACTTATTTACTAGCAAGGTACCATCAATATTTGCTTTCACATTCACTTCCTTATGTAAAACACTGATAATGTCTGTTAACAATAAGTATCTTGCTTATTTTTGTGCTATTTTGACTCAAATAGCAGCATTTTTTCTAAGCATGTATTTGGGCATCTATAACAGAAACAGTAATAATCCATTCTTACACTGATTAAGTGATTGCAAAAATAATAAAGTGTTAAAGACATAATACATCCCTTAAATATAAAACTTTCTTACTGGATTTTCATGGTTTTATTCAATATTTATCTTCTGGATACTTCATAGACAAGTTTTCAAATGCAAGTTTCCAAATATAGAAACCAAAGGCCTTGTACATTCAGATTTTAAAGTCAGAAATGAAACTCGGGCACCTGTGTGTTTAAAATGGCAGTTGTTCTTTGGGATCAAAGATTAATATTTAAACCTTAAAATGGGCCAAGTACTGTGCTCGCAGAAACAATATATTAAAAAAATTACATCCAGGAAACACAACACACGGACACACATATTCACGCACACAGCTAAGACTAAATATTGTGATACAATAAAGCCAAAAGTGTTAAAGCCACAAAATGGGTCCATTTTAACATAGCATTAGAAGTTAGGAAGCACTTCCCAGAGAAGTAGAAAAAGGAAACAAACATTTGTCAATCAAGAGGATACTAGAAGGAGAGCAGGTAAGTAGAAGAAAGTCATCCAAGGAGTGCAAGCAACATAGGGCAAAGTTTGAAACAGAGCAGGAACTATCTATACAGAGCAACTCAGCAGGCCATCTTAAACATGCATCCTCGGAGCTAAGGCAAGACCAGAGTTAGCAACCTGAAACTGTGGCCGGTACATCTGTCTCTGTATACACACTTGCTGCAGATCACAGCCATACCTGCTCAATCGATATTGCTTACTGCTGGCTTAGGACATAAACAGGTATATGATAATACTCATAAATTAATAGCATCTAAGAAACTTTTATAACTGCTTATATACTGAACTCTAATTCATTTTTCATGTGTTAACATTTACTATCATAGCAACCCCAAGGGTTGCCTCTACTTGCTCTTGTTTGCAGGTAGAGAAGGCACTGAGTGGTGAATCCAGAAGAAGAACATGAGTCTACAAGACTCTACCTTGGGCAAATCACCTGAATACTGCTCTGAAGATGCTAAGCAATATTTGTATGAATGGGTTACAGGATGAAGAACAGATTATAATTAGGAGATATGCAGAAATCCTTGGAGAAAACAATGGTATGTGAAACTGAGGTAGCAATGGACAAGAGTAAATACAGGCGAAGTTACAACTTTACAATGGGATGTAGTTACAAGATTGCTTACTGCACGGATGAGGATAAGAAAAGTATTAAAACAACTCAGTCATTCAAATAGGAAATATGGAAAGAGGAAGAAAGTATGTACAGTTTTACATGTGTGAAAAATCAGAATTATCAGAATATTACAAATAGAAAGTGAAAAAGATATATTTTGTCATGTTAAAAAAGCAAATTCTAGTATTTTTAAAATAAGCTATTACTTGTGTATCCAACTACCAGACAACAAAAGAGATGAAAATTTGCCTCAACTTGAAACTTTTTAATAACAAGGTTCAAGTTATTTAATAACTAATAGGTTTTAAAAATTATATACATTGAAAGTATTCCAACAAAATCTGGGGAGAAATGCTTTATGCAGATGATATTCTAAAGAAAGGTAAACTGGAATATAAACTAGCAATTTAGGAATAAAGGTCCATTAACCTCAGGGCTAGGGTTATTCTTACCTCTAAAGTTTTCAACAATGTTTGTGTTACATAGGTCTTCCCACTGGCCGTGTGTCCATAAATAAAGATGGACGAAAAGCTGAAATGATGTCTCTAAGAAAGAAAAGACAAGGTTCTGTCTGTATGAAACCAGAAATAAATATTTACCAACTTGTACTAAAGTTTTATTGGTAGAGTACAATACTAAATCCAAGTTATTTCAGTGATGTATACACATAAATTCTTAATACTCTGAGCTTAAATTCAACTCGAAATGTGTTCCTTTATGGAATTATCTTTCAAAATTATAAGCTACTGAGCAGCACAGATACCAGTGTAAAAGAGGGTAGACCCTGATGGATTCAAAAATCTACTGGGGAGACATAAAAAATTAAAAAAAAAATCAGATATCATTTCATAAGCAAAAATGAAGCTCATGACAATCTTCAATAGTTTTTTGTTTTTGTTCTTTTCCAAAGCTAGATGAAATCTGTTCTGGAATCTGATCACATTTGTCTACATCTACTATTTGATATAGTACTCCCTGCCCATATAAGCTTCTATTGCTGTGATCAATAGCATGATCAAAAGCATCTTGTGGAGGAAAGGATTTACTTCTGCTTACAGTTATAGTTCATCATGAAGGAAAGTTGGGACAGGAATTCAAGTTAAGAATCTAGAAGCAGAAACTGAAGCTGAGGCCATGAAGGAAGGTGTCTTACTGACTTGTTCAGCATTTCACTACCCAGACCACCTTCCCAGGGGTGGCACCATCTCCAGGGGGCTGGGCCCTCCCACATCAATCATGAATCAAGAAAATGTCCTACAGACTTGCCTACTGACTATCTGTTGGAGGCATTTTTTTCAGTTAGGTTCTCTCTTCCCAGATAACTTTAAGTTTGTCAACTTGAAGATAAAACTAACCAGCACATTCCCCCTTTAAACAACTTTTACTTTGTTATCTAGAGTTGAAAATGAACTCTTACACCACTGTTCACTTTACTTTTCCCCAACATCTGCCACAAGACAGAATCTGGCACAGTGCCATAGACACTTGCTAAATTTATTAATTAATCTTCTAAGATTATAGCTAGCTTCTTTTTCTTCTGTAGTTATTTGCTATAGTGTTTCTTTGTATTTTCCACATGCAAACTTCCTTGAAGTAGAAAAAAATTATTTTTGTTAAATGTAGTTTGAAATAAGAGCAAAGGTAAAACCTTTTCTGAGATCCACTGCTAAATCAGCACTACCTATCTTATTTTGCTAATAAAGTACTCCTCAAAAATAAAAGTACTTTTGATTAGAGTAATCTGGGTTTACCAAGTCCAATGAAGGAATGTATAGAGCATAAACAAGTATATATTTCAATAATATAGGTAGCTATAATTGAAAGCATTATAACTAGAAACTACAGATGCAGTTGACCTCTAGAATTATTAACATGACTCCTTTTAGATGGAGGGAAGTACTTTTCCATGAATATTTCACATCCAAAACTCTGCTGCATGAAAGTACATTTTTAAGGGCAAACTAAATGGCTATTTGTATTTATTCATCTTCTAGACAAGATCCAAGTGCAATTAATTATAATTAATGAGTACAATGCAAGGCAAATGAGAAAAATGAATGCTACCCCCGCCTATGAAAAGGAATCTCTAGCTGTGTTCGCTTCAGAGGATAACCTCTCCCCTCTAAATCATCTCATCTGGTAGGCAGGGAGAGAACCCCAAGCGAGACCTCTCCTGGCTTTTGTAATTCTGGAAAAACTCCAGGATTTTAAAGGCTAAAATACAGCGTTACCCTAATTGGCCTTGAAGCCAATCTCCTCTCTGTGTCTGACTCAATCTATACCTCACTGCAAACGGTCGAACTTGCGTTTAATAAACAATGCAAACACTTCCTGGTTAAACCCCGTTCAGCAGCAACTTACATTAGCTATTTGGGGCTCACATAATCTCCGAAGTGTGGTCCAAGTAAAAGGACCACTTCCTAGCCAACGTCCTGTAGAGTAAGCCAGTTCTTCCTCTGCAGACTCCTTTGAAATGGACTGAGAAGTTTCTCTGGGTAAGTAAGGGTCCTACAGCACCTCCGTCTTAACATAAGGGTATAACATAAGGCCTCGCAATTCATACAGTATTCCTCCCAAACTGAACAGATTAAGGACGCGTTCGCCTCTGGAATTTGGGAAGCAATCTGACTACAATACCTCTCCAAACAGGGACTTCAAAGTGGACACTTGGGCCTCTCGACAGAGGACCATGCTCTCCAACTGAGACATTTTGGCGGGCACCACCTGATCCTGAAGAGCAGTTGGCCCCCGGTCAGCCAGGAACCGCTCACTCGGCGTACTTCAATAACGCAACTGCAAGCTTTCCTGTCGGAGGTCTGGGCTGAGGGAGGAGCGGGCGCGGCCGAGTGACGTCACGGGCCCCGCGACAACGTGGGCCGCTCTAGTCTCCCGCCGACGGTTCTCAGTGGTCGGCTCTTGGTGTCTGGTTAACGCTTCCCTCTCTAGCTTGTGCTTTCCAGCCGAAAACCCCCAGGACAAGCTGAAGGGCAGGGAGGCGTCCTGAGGGCATCTCACTGCCCACCTTCGGTGGCTTCAGTTCCCTCCAGAAAGCTGCACAAATAAAAGTACCGAGAAATACGAATATTCTTTAAAAAACGAGGCTTTCCTCTGGCAAGAAAGTAGGCAATGAGAACTCTGGAACTGAATATAGAATAATTTTTTGTTTGTCTTTGCAAGCTTGAAACTAGAAGTGGAAGTATTCCAGTGTTAGTGAGGATAATTGGAATAAAAATAACACTATCCTTGCTAGTGTATTTATAGGACATCTGGAAGCAAGATGTTAGCAAAGCCTTGAAATTAAAGAATGAGAAAATTTGTATTCAAAGAGAAGACTATTACACCAAGCTATTGTAAAAGGTGTTGTTGGGTCCTGAAAAAAATTTGGTGTGGAGACATTGACACATTGACTCAACTATTTCTGATTTTTGAGACATTGGGAGAATCTTTGAACCTTTTTTTTTAATTTCCTTACATAGAAAATAAAGACAACACAAATAAGTAGAGTATGGCTAAGAACAGAACATAACGTACGCAGTGTCTACTATGCATAGATTTCGTAACCAATGCAAAAAGACAAGAAAAAAAACCGCACCGATATTAAAAAGAGGCCCACTATATATTATTGAATAATACAACTGCCTGTGGAGGAAATCTAATTGCTACACACACATACACACACACACTTTGGTTTCCAAAGTGGCTGTACAAATTTTCATTCCTACAAGCAATGGAGGAGTGTTCCCCTTACTCCACAGCCTCTGCCATATGTAGAGTTAGTGAAGATCCTTTCCCAATCTGTAGGCTGCTGTTGTGTACTATTGACAGTGTCCTTTGCCTTACAAAAGCTTTTCAGTTTCATAAGGTCCCATTTATCGATATTTGATCTTAGAGGCAAAATTTTGACCTTAAAGCACATTGGTGTTCTGTTCAGGAAATTTTCCCTATGCCAATGTGTTCATGGTTCTTTCCCACTTTCTCTTCTATTAGATTCAATATATCTGGTTTCATGTCGAAGTCCTTGATCCACTTGGACTTGAGCTTTGTGCAAGGTGATAAATATGGATCTATTTTCATTCTACATACCAACTGCCAGTCAGACCAGCACCATTTATTGAAGATGCTTTCTTTTTTTCACTGTATGGTTTTGGCTTCTTTGTCAAAGATCAAGTGTCCATAGGTATGTGAGTTTGTTTCTGGGTCTTTGAAGCAATTCCTTTGATCAGTGTGTCTGGTTTTTGTTTGTTTGTTTGTTTTTAAAGATTTATTTATTTATTATATATGAATACACTGTAGCTGTCTTCAGACACACCAGAAGAGGGCATCAGATCTCATTACAGATGGTTGTGAGCCACCATGTGGTTGCTGAGATTTGAACTCAGGACCTCTGGAAGTGCAGTCAGTGCTCTTAACCACTGAGCCATCTCTCCAGCCCAGTGTGTCTGGTTTTGTATTAGTATCATACAGTTGTTTTTTTGTTTTTTTTGTTTTTAACCAATATTGCTTAAGGTCAAGGATGGTGATTCCTCCCGAAGTTCTTTTATTGTCCAGGATTGTTTTGGCTCTCCTTTTTTTTTTTTTTTTTTTTCCCTTATGAAGTTAAGAATTGCTTGTTCAAAGTCTATTAAAAAATGTGTTGGAAGTTTGATGGGATTGCATTGACTCTGTAGATTGCTTTTCACTATGTTAATCCTGCTTATCCTTGAGCATGGGAGATCTTTCCATCTACTGATATCTTCTTCAATTTTTTTCTTCAGGGTATTGAAGTTCTTGTCATATAGATCTTTCACTTGCTTGGTTGGAGTTACACCATGCTATTGTAAAGGGTGTCATTTCCCTAGTTTCTTTTTCAGCCAGTTTATGATTTGTATAAAAGAGGTCTACTAATTTCTTTGAATTAATTTTTTATCCAGCCACTTTGCTGAAGTTGTTGATCAGCTGTAGTTCTTTGGTAGAATTTTTGGGGTGCTTATGTATACAATCCTATTGAAAGGCCAAGTATATTCCATCTTGGGACCAGACTTAATCTTAAAAGAAAAAAAGCCTAAGAACTTGACTTGCACCTGAACCCAAGCTACACCCACATACCAGGAAGGACTCCATGGCTTGTCCTTGGCCCATATCCCAGAGTTCCTCCCTAGCTACTTCCTAGCAACAGTCAATCAAATATTAGTTGTTTCAGATGTACTTTCAGACTGTGATTGTGGTCTTGCTTTAGAACATCCACATGTTGACTTACAATAGTCATTCAATTAGATGCTTGCCAGGATGGAAACCCCCTCACTTCCTCCCATTTCCTATAAAACCTTGTCCTGATGAGAGTTTGGGGTTTCTTCACCAAACCATTCTGATGCATCAAGGTTAGTGGTGAGTAAGCCCAAGTTCAAGGTTGTAAATAAAGACTCTAATGTGATTCTAGTCACTATTGGATGTCAAAAGGTTTGTAGCTATGTTAGTATTTGCTTTCCTCCTTTGGTAACGTGTAGAATGTCTATGCAGCCTATGCACCTGATTGACTTTTCCATGTTCAATGAGTTATATAGGTGTTGCCTTCAGTAATAGGGTCAGTAGTGACTTGAATAAGTTTGGACCCCATAGAGTCATGCTTGGCCCATAGGGAATGAGACTATTAAGAGGTTTGCCCTTGTTGAAATATGTATGACCTTGTTGGAAGAAGTATGTCACTGTAGTGGTTGGCTTTGAAGTCTTAGTTAGGGTTTCATTGCTGTGAAGAGACAGCATGTCCAAGGCAACTCTTATTAAGTACATTAATTGGGGCTGGCTTAGAGTTTCAGAAGTTCAGTCCATTATCATCATGGAAGGAAGCATAGCAGCAGGCAGGAAGACAGGGTGCTGGAGAAGCCTAGAATTCTACATCTTGATTTGAAGGCAATAAAGGAAGATTACCTTCCACAAGCAACTAGTAGGAGGATCTCTTCTGCACTGGGTGGAGCTCGAGCATAAGACTTCAAAGCCCACCCTCACAGTGACACACTTCCTCCAACAAGGCCACATCTATGTCAACAAGAACATATCTCCTAATAGTGTTACTCCTTGTGGGCCAAGTATTCAAGCACATAAAAACAACCAATAGCCTTGACAACAACTCAATTAGATGTTTCTAATGCCCAGAAATGGGAACTTCATTTGGATCCTACAGATGTCTGTTTGAGGCCTTGTCTCTCCAGTTAGTTAGCAATTTCATTTATATCACCTTCATAAGTGCTTCTTAGCTATTTGTCTTTTGTATTTTGAGACTATTCTGTTTAATTTTTAAATTTTGGTTATTTGTTTTCTTCATATCTAATTTGTTGAGTTCTTCGTATGTATTTTTATATTAATCCTCTATTAATGTGTAGTTGGTAAAAATATTTTCTGTAGCCTGCCACTTTGTCCAAATGATGGCTGTACTTGCAGGTTTTGTGTGCCAACGTGACACAATTTAGATTCATCATAGAGGAAGGAGCCTCAGTTGATGAAAGGCCTCATTGAGATCTTGCTATAAGGCATTTAATCAACTAGCGATCAATGGCAGAGTGCCCAACCTACTGTGGGTGGTGCCGTCCTTGAGATAATAGTTCTGAGTTCCATAAAAAAGAACCCCCCCCCCCAGATCCTCATGGAGTAGGGGGAGTTTCTCAACTATGATATCATGCTGGGGATCAACCAGGGCAAGAGCTTAAGTCGAGGGGTCAGCCTGGGCCACGGCAGTGAGGTGCTCTCCGTGTTCTGTGTCCCCATGGTCGGCCCCATCGAGGTCTTCGGGAGCAACTTTCTTGTGCAATGATGTCATGCTCAGCACCCTTGTCATGACCTACTGAACCAACTTCACCAAGACAGGGGACCCCAACCAGTTGGTGCCCCAGGACGCCAAGTTCATCCACATTTGCCCCAACCTGTTAGAGCAGGTTGTGTGGTCGAGCTGTACCTGCACATCAGGCTGAGACCACTACTGCGCCACCAAGATGGCGTTCTAGCTCGAGCTGGTCCTGCACCTGCACGGGCTGGGTAACACCACATGCACAGCGTCCCCCAATTCTGATGGCTCCCCCACCCCGCCACCACCACCACCACCACCACGACAGACACATTGTCCCCGCCAGGTGGCACATGACCACACAGCGCTCCGCCAAGACCTCATCCTCCACGTCCTGGACCTCAGTCGCCTTGGGTTTGAGACTGCCCAAGACACAGCACGACTACTCAACAGAGCTGAGTGTGAAGATCAGGGTGGGCATGTCCCTACTCTACCTCAACATCTTCACCTTTTCTGGGGTCTACTACTACAAGAAGGACAACCAGCACGACAAGCCACTCCCCAAACATAAAACACCACAGTTTTGGCCGGTTTGAACTGGTTTTCAACTAGTTTACACCTGATCAAATTGATTTGAACAGGATTGAACTGGCTTGAAGCAGTTTCAACTGACTTGAACTGGCTTCATCTGGCTTGAACCGGTTCCGTTTTCAACTGGCTTGAACTTGTTTCATCTGGCTCGGATCATTTGAACCGACTCAAACCAGTTTGAGGCAGATTGACCCTGCTAGAACTGGTTTAAACCTACCAGTACCAGTTCAAGCAGCTGGAACAGGTTTGAACCAGCTTCAACCTGTTTGAGCTTGATTGAAACGGTTGAAACCAGTTTGAACCAGCTTGAACCGGTTCCAGCAGGCTGAAACTGGTTTGAACCAGATCGAGCCAGACCAAATCAGTTTGAGCTGAACTGAACCGGTTCAGACTGACATGAATGGGTTTGAACCGGTTTGAGTTGGATTGAACCAGTTTCGGCTGGCTTGAACTGGTT